GTAGCGTCTTACGTGATTAAATCTGCCGACAAATCGGCCGGAACGCGCCAAATCAATCCCCTCTGTTGAAAACGACGGCGTTTTATAAAGCAGCCGTTCACTCCGGCAAGACCGCGTGAACATCCTCGCCTTGACCTCGTCCTGCCCTGCAGCCAAGTGCATCAGTGCCGCTAAGCGAGCATGTTCGCATGCAGGGCAGTAAAGCCAATAGGTTGAAAAGCTGCACAGCAGCAGGCTGGGCTCATGTTTCTTTTGTCCCCGCGGTCATGTCTTTTAGAGCCCTATTAAACTAATCTTGATGCTTAAACTCCCAGATCTTGGGAAGGACATCAATCATTTTTCCTTCCAGACAAAACACAACAATGCTCTCACGCCATCCATCATTTCACTTGACAGACCGAAACCCTGATGGAAGACGAATCATTGAAACGTTTGGATTCGTTTGCCCTCTGCTGTGTTATGAGAGGATGTATTATTATTATTATTATTATTTTTTTTTTTTTGCGTGTTTCTGGAAACATTCAAATGTTGTGATGGTGAGTTTGATTCCGAAAATCCTGATCCGAAGCATTTGGAAATCTGGATTTGGATGGAATTTGGGATGTAGCTTGTGAATGTTTTTAATCATCCAGGTTGTTGTAATCGATCGCAGTTGGTCTGTTTGGATTGATCTTCATACAGATTTTGATTTACAAACTTCAACATGTCAAGTCACGACAGACCAGTAATCCCCGTTCGTTTCGTTTATTCCATACGACGGAACCAATGACTGAGTGATCGAAAATGAGACAGGGCGTTTGGTGCGTAGCGTCGGTTATCCTCGAGAGCAAATGCGAGACTTGCAGCAGCTGCCCAACCACTCGGCCTCATTTATCGCAGCGTTTGGATGTTCCGACAAGAGCTTTTGTTTTATTTTCCTGCCCATTTCCATTAAGTTGAAGCGTGAAAGCTAATTTTCCAATTTCGATTCATCACCTGACCAAACACTTCTCCGTTCCCTTTGGGCACAAACAGCAGCGAGTCTCTCACATGCTTCTAGCTCAATCGATTCTCATAGGCTGACCTCCAAAATTTAAACCTCACAATGGGTTTTCTTGATATTTTCTGCGAAATGGCGTCGGCCACTTGCTCACAAGGGGGGAGGACGCATGAATGCTTTCAGTATCTCCTGAAAGAAACGGTGTGTGACGTCATCAAACGAACGTTTGACTCCAACATGTTGAGAAGGGAGCCCAAGGCAGATTACGAACCATCGCTTCCATAATTGTGGATCTGAGTGTGTAGCAAATGTGTCACCAACAGTTTTGCAACGCTTACCTTGAAAAATTAGCCGAGTTACTTGACCGATGACTGGATTTTAAAAGTAACCTAATGACAGATTCCTTGATTTAAAAAGTAACTTCTCTTACTGATTACTGGATTTTAAAAGTAACTTAGTTACTTTACTGATTACCCGATTTAAAAAGTAACTTATTTTACTGATTACTTGACTTTAAAAGTAACCTAATCACTTCACTGATTGTTTGATTTTAAAAGTAACTTAATTAATTTACTGATTATTTTAAAACAAAGTTACTTAACTGATTACCTGATTTTAAAAGTAACTACGCTGGATTATTGATTACCTGATATATATTTTTTGAAAGTAAATAAGTGCGTTAAAAGTTTCTTAATTTGTTACTTTCGGTCGGCGCTGACAACCTCACGTAACATAAAAATGACAATTGGTTGTTTTTTGTTTTTTTTTTGCCAATACTCTATTGGAAGTGCATTTCTAACAGTCACGTTTAAGGATACATTTAACAAATAAAATAAAATAGACAGCCTTTCTCGACTTCACTGAACATAAATCAAAACATTTTTAATGTATATAATATAAAATAAAGGCAGTCTTTTTTGACTTGACATATTTAGTTGCTCATACCGTCATGATAAAAATTAACTTTGATTATGAACATTGTTTAAAAAAAAAAACAGAAAGAAAAAAACATCAGTGACCTTTAGTCACAGTTCTGCTTAAAAAAAACAAGAAAAATCAGAAAGCAATTGTTTGCAGCAGAAGAATTTGTGAACTCTTTTAAAAAAAAAAAACAGAAAGAAAAAAACATCAGTGACCTTTAGTCACAGTTCTGCTTAAAAAAAAAAAAAGAAAAATCAGAAATCAATTGTTTGCAGCAGAAGAATTTGTGAACTCCGTTTTGTCACAAAGCAACGCATTCAAGTTTTGGAATAGTACTTTTCATCAGACTACTATATTAGATATAGTAACGCGTGACATAACGCGTCACGCGTTATTAGCTGCATCATTGGTCACCATAAACCCCCAAAAAAACCCAAATTCTTGCTGCCTGGCATTTGGCTTTACGTGACTGTAACGAAGATATATTGGGTTGCGCGTTGTGTTGATGGTTTTCTATTGACACTCCTTCAGTGAATAGTCAAGCTCATATAAGATTAACAAGAGCAGCATTGAAAGGTTTTTATAGCGTATAAACTTGTTGCTACATGAGCGGATTTATTTTATTTTTTTCCTTTCCTTGACTTGGACACGAAATAGAAGGTAAATGAGTGCAAACAAAACTCGACCAAAATATGTTTACACATTCAAAGAGGTGACGACTGCCTCTCCGCACTGCACCATGGAAGGACGCACACGCAGATGTGGAAAATGTCACCCCTCCCCCCCACTTTAGTTGTTCTAAGAAGAACAAGCAATCAAAACTCTTTCCCCACACAGCTTTCCAAAAAATGTTTTCTTCGAGTTTGCTCTTTGTGAATCATTGCGCTCGTTTTAAGTCCCCGCCGGTCCGCCGCGTTTCCACAAAAGTTTAAATGGAAGAGGAAATTTGTGTGTCTCAAGCGATTCTTCGCGAGGTTTCAGTGTGGAGGCTCGGCGGTAATTGGAGTATATTACTTTAATAAGCACTCGCTCGCCGATGACTGTCAAGAGATGAGGGGACCGAAGAAGAATACTCAGCGTTAACTTATGCTAATTGCTCAGACAAGTGTTAATTTTATGTTATCGTGGGCTTCTTGCATTTACTTACTCATTAACGTTCAAGTTGCGAAAGGCTAATTACCAATGGCGGTAATTGGCGTTGGGCTCCAAAATATACACTGCTGTGATCTTTGGACTCCAGTCATGTTTCCCAATGATATTGCGTACGAGTTGAAAGAAGAACTGGAATTGGACTCGGGACCTCATGCCGGTTGAAATAGTTCAGCCGTGTTCTCTCTTTGACATAGAAAGACGTTCCCTCGAGTGTTGAAGGTTGAAGAAAATTGAAAGGAGTAAACCCTCTCGTCAGCCTCTTTTAAAACGGCATCAATATCAAAGCCGGAAGAGAAAACAGCAGATTGATCCGCCTTTTGACTTTTCTTGAGAACCCTGCGAAGAAAAGAAGGACATTGAAGCAAGTGTGTGAGCGCTTTCACAGCATCGGGCAACCAGATAATGTGACGAATAAAATTCTTGCCGGACATAAACAATTACTGGGGCGAACAAGTGAGTGGCGAGTGTGAAATTTCACACTCATGTCCGGGCATTGTGGCATTATTTTTCTTCACGGGCATTGTCCTGGCTCTTGATTGTCCTTTCGAGGGCGGAATATTGGCTGGGAAAAAAATGCTTTCAGCTGATTGCTAAGAAACACAAAGATCCCACCATCAGGCTTCTTTTACAGAACCAAACAAATGTGAATAGCGAAAAAAAACAAACACAATTGGCACCAACCTAAGAATTTTGGGGGGAATTTATCTCTTTATTTATTATTAAAGTTTGAAAACGGAAATAATATGCCACAAACTTGGAACATGAAACTTCCCCATTTAGATTTAGGCATCAGCAACCTGGTTGTGTGTGTGTGTGTGTGTTTGTTTCAAGCTAGTGGCATCTTGCACGAGGCAGAAAAGTGATATTGATTTTTACATTTTATTATTATCCAAATCCGATACAACCTGTAGCGCAACGAGGGGACTTTGACTCATTTTTGATGCATGACCATATTACGTCCTTGAATTATGTTCTCTGTCGGTGTTCATTAAACATGCATTGAAATGTAGGCTCGACTGCCCAACACAGCGGCTCGGTTTTTACACAAAGAACACGCGCGTTAATCCCAGAAGTTCTCACCGTGACGTCACTTTTGAGATCGAATACAAAAAGGTATTCATTCAACAATGCGGCGGTGCCTTGAGATACGAGCGACCGGCCCGACTTAGCCGTTGATTTGACTTGCTAGCAAACATTTGAGATGCTCTATGTTAGCGGTGAAGTCAAGTCAGCTCACTTCACAACAAGTTTACCGTCAAGCTAAACATAAAAAAAGGGAATTACGCATTGTGTGCTTAAAACAACCAAGGAAATTTGCCTTAAAACCTGCTAGCTTAATGTAATGCTAACGTTTTAAGGACCGAATCTGCCGTATCAAGGCACCACGACATGTGTATCGCTGTGCTTTTATTCGAAACACCTTTCAGCCTGTTGTACTGCAGTTCTACTCGACTGCGAACTGCAACGAGTATAATATACTGCTAAATGATTACCTCTGCGACAGTGTCAGTCAACCACTATGGAGCAGTTTGGTGTCTGTCTCGTTGGTATTGCCGCCAGCTTTTTTTGACTTCGTAGGAGCTTAGCGGCGGCAGCCCACACTGGAAGTCCCACACCACAAAATAATCTTCTTTTTTCTAGTTCAGTGAGCCAAGAGCCTTCTGGCTGGATGCCCTCGAAAATGAAATACCAACTACACACACACACACACACACACACACACACACACACGCACACACACACACACACACACACACACACACACACACAGCATGCGCGTTCCCTCACACACATGCCCACAGTCGGTTCCATTGGTCAGACTTTGCCGCTCATTTTTTTTTTTTATTTTATTTTTTTTTAGTTCAGCACACCTGGACTGAAATGTGCAATTCAAAACAGCAGTGTGCTTCACGGCCGCTTCTCTCTGTGCGCTCTCATGTTTTTGCAGATGGGAAGGTGGAGGTGACAAAGGAGAGTCTGAAGCTGTGTACCATGGGGCCCGGGAAGGTGTTTGGGGAGCTGGCCATTCTTTACAACTGCACCAGGACTGCCACTGTCAAAAGTGAGTCTGGAATGTTTAAAAAAAAAAAAGCAAAAAAAAACCCCACAGCATCCATTGTGCTCTTGATGTACAATTATGTCCTTGTAGTTTGACATCTAACATAAAAAGCAATGAGGAGGCAGACAATAGCGCTCAACAAATCCACTAAAGTCCATAACAGACGCTTTGAACATATTTTTTGAACTACAGGTACCTTTAGTAGATCAAAGCCGTATTCACACTGCAAGGTTCAAGTGATACAATTCCGGCGATTTTCTCTCCATCGGCACAGTTGGGATGTGAGTCCTGGCAAACAAAAAACCCCACATGTAATGGTTATCTTCAACTCAACTCAACTCAACTCAACTGTATTTATAGAGCACTTTCAGACAGCCATCGCTGCATACGAAGTGCTTTACATGGAGCAACTAACACATACAACAGTAAAGCAACAAATCGGTAACAAAGACGGTAGAAAGCACCGAACACCAAAACCAAGAACAAATCTGAGTCATGCTGAGTCAAATGCCAAAGAATACAAGTGAGTTTTGAGGCGGGTTTTAAAGATGGGCAGCGAGGAGGCTTGCCGAATGTTCAGTGGGAGGTCATTTGCTCCCTCTTACGAGTACCAGTCAAGAGGCGAGCAGCGGCATTCTGGACCAGCTGGAGGCGCTAAATGGAGGATTGGCTCATTCCAAAGTAAAGGGCATTGCAGTAATCAAGCCGGGATCAGGCCTCTTCCAAATGGGTAAAAAAAAAAAAAAAAAAAATCTGAGATATAGATAAGGATACGGGCATGTATTGGCCCCGCAGGGTTAATCCAGCCAATGTCGTGCATTTGTCGCAAGGAAGGGAGTTAATCAGCCGCACTTCCATCCACCCTGTCGGCCAATGATAACATTTGCATGTGTCACTCACTCCCACTGAGCTATTTGAATGGCAAATTAGGAGCTTACTGTGCTGAGCCCCTGGACAGAGAAGAGATGAAAGCAACAGGGAGTCGGAGAGATGAACCGAGTCAAAAAAAAAAAAAAGTGCAAGAGTATAAGGACAAGAGTATATACTGTAGGTTACTCGAGGTACTGATGGTCTAGTGCAGGAAGATGTAACTGCTCTCTTGCACCTCCACATTCTGAGTGGCCATATTTCATTTTTTAAAAATTGCTTACCATCAATAAATAAATAAATGAATAAATCCGGTTAATGAAAATTGGCTGACGCTCCTTGCTAAGCTTCCCTTTGACGACCATTCACGTCAATGGCGCTCAATGAACTAATGTGTTAGATGTTAGTACATTTTTAAATGTATATTTTAGTGTCACTTTCACCCACCACTAGTGGTACTGGTACCACACTTTTAGAATCACGACTCCAAATTGTCCAAAGGTGTAAATGTGGTTGTGAATGTTTGTCATTATTAGCTTTGCGATTGGCTGGCAACCAATCTAGGGTGTACCCAAAATCAGCCGCGATAGCTTCCCGCTCCCCCGCTACCCTAATGAGGACAAAAGCGGGAGAAAAGGGATGTCTGGATTTTTTTTTTGGGGGGGGCATTGTTGGCTCGGATGTGATGACATCTCTGATCCACAAGTTTTTCCAATTCTTTTTTTTTTTTTTTTGTATTTGTGTGAGACTCCCTTTTGGAAGCAACCCCCCCTTGCTCTAGCCGGTTCCAGCGCCCCCATCATGCAGGATGGCGAGAAGGTGGTCCGACAGACGCGCCGTTTGAATATTTAGCGAAGGGAATGCGGAGTGAGCACAGATGGCCGAGAACAAGTGTGTTATAAGAGTGTGTCAGGATGAGGAATACGTGTTTATGGGAAGCAGGAAACAAGGTGGGGGGAAATGGCTGGAAATGCGCTCCTGGACTTCGGGATAATAAATCCAGCCGGGGTGATATAAGGTTCGACGGCTTCGGCCAAACACCCAGAATAGACTGGATGACGACACTTTCACCGGTGTGTAATTGCTGCGCTGCCGTGGACGGACAGCGTAATGCCTTGGCACCTTAATAAATCAATGCCGGCCGCGTGTGTGGGAATGACTTTATAATTGGAACCTGTGGGATCCGATCGCACCAAAACCAGGGATTTCTTTCCACTTAGATCATCATTATTAATCAAATCCTTCCTTCGCCCTCCTGGATGAATATTTTAAGTCGACAAACGAAAATAGATCATGTTTATCCTTCCCTTTGGTCATGTGGAAGACTGTTTTGATGGGATTGTATAAGGTACTCTAAACGGACTGGATTTACAAAGCCATTTATAGTTATTGTAGCGATTGCCTTTCCTTCGCCATTATTGGACTCTCGGTTGAGCAACTTTTATGGTCCGTAGACAAGATCATAAATAAGCGGAGGATGCCCGGTGGGATACGTAAGTTGATGGCCACAGATCTTAAATATGGTTGAGCTTAGCGTAGCTTCGCGCCCGTTCGATTGCAAAGTATTTTCATGGTGCGCGCTGAATTGGATCTATTAAGTACACACGGAGTTAGTCGAGTTTGTCATTTTTTTTTTTTTTCATATTTCAAGCATGTAACCTCGTCGCGGTCACTGAAAGCAATGAAGCCACCTGTTTAGTAAATTGGAGTCTTTTCAAGAAATTGCGCAATGTGGTCCGGTTGTCCTCTCCATGCAACACAGATGAGAAGCACTTCTCAGAAATGGCGCTTGTGCGACAGAGTATGAATACAGAGTATGAATACAGTGGATGAATTGACGGCACCTCTCGTAGCGTACTCCCCGGGCACCGTTGCTTTGCCTTTCCCTTTCCGCGGAAAAACACAACTCAAACTACTTTGTCCCTTTACTGGAAATCGATGCGTGGCCTCCGCGAAAATATGAATAAATGCATGAGGGGCGGTCGGGTGGGGGTTGGGTGCTTCCTGAGGCCAAAGAGGTGTGATGGCGTCCACTTGATGCGAGCTCCTTGCTGACTGACCCCTTTCAAATGCCTCGATCCAACGCGCTGACCAGCCAAGCTGACGCGACCGCTCCTTCTGCGCTCCCGCTGCTATGGCAACAGGGGCCCATATGGAGGTTGGGGGTGGGGGGGGGTAGTGAGCGTCCGACTCTTCCCATTGCACTTCTCACAGGGGGACACGGTGCCTTTCCTTTTAGTCCCTGTGAGGGTTCCGATCGATGGGTCACTCAGGATCTCGGATGGAAGGGGCGAGGGGGCTGCTGTGTTAATACGGGAAAGTACAAAGTAATTCATTTTGATCATTCGAGTGGGGAATGAAAATTATGTTTGGGTTTCTGGCAGGGTGGATGGGGTGTGTGTGTGTGTGTGGGGGGGGGGGGCATGCCATTGCCCAGTAAAGCGCTTTAATTGGATCTTTGGTTCCATTTTAATTCCCGCATATGAGCATCGTTGCATCCGAAGACAATGAAGAGGTGATATGAATCGTTTCTATTAAAATGTGAAAATTGACTGAGGAATGCGAGAGAGGTTTCACGGAAAACAATTTTGCATTAAAACGTGAACGAAGCTTTTTTTAATTATTTTTTTTTTCTTGTGTGAAAATAAATTATATGGCAGCACGGTGATTGACTGGTTAGCGCGTCTGCCTCTGAGGTTGGGGTCGAAAATCATGTCATCGGGCGTTTACAAGTCCTCCTCGTGCTTTTGGGTGTTTTCTACAGTTACTCGGGCCCACATTCCAAAATCATGCAAAGAGTAACATTGCATGAAAGTGTAGCCAGCAAGGATTTATGGCATAGACAAGGAAAAAAAACAACAACCAGGGTTCTACCTTTGGCCACGGTATGTTAAGGGGTGCTGGTTAAAGTAAGCCATTTTCAACTAAAAAGGGAAAAAATGTGGAGGAAGAAGCAGCAGCCAATAGATGGCAGCTTACTCACTTTCTAGTTGAGGAGATTTTTTTCTTTCCAACTCATCGTAGCGTTTTTCATTTGTTGGACATTTCGGAGTAGTGCAAGGAGTAATAATTCGATTTGGATTCAGTCATTTGTTACTTTCAACATGAGTAACAAATTGTGATTTGGAATGCGAGCCAAAGCTCGGAGTCCAGAAATCCGCATTTGAATCTCCTTTGGATCGTCTGAGTGGATTTTGCATTGGATTTGAAGCTTGTAAAATGTCTGCAATGTAGACCTGAGCAGGAGGATGAATGTTTGCATGCCCCCAGTCGAGGTTTTACAACGATGATAAGCACTACAGAAAAGAAAAGACCCAGATGGAAAGCAAATCTACTGGAAAAAAAAAACAAAACAAAAACTCGCTGCTCAGCTCATCGGTTTTGAAATGTCACAACGGTGACATACAAGCTGTTAGCCTGTCTTAAAACACAGATAAAAACCTTATTATTTTTGAGGTTTTACAACGATGATAAGCACTACAGAAAAGAGAAGACCCAGATGGAAAGCAAATCTACTGGATGAATTTCTGCCAGATAAAAAAAACAAAACAAAAACTCGCCACTCAGCTCATCAGTTTTGAAATGTCACAACGGTGACATACAAGCTGTTAGCCTGTCTTAAAACACAGATAAAAAAACTTTTATTTATTTATTTATTTTTTATCAGAGGTAAGAAATTCAAACACATTTATCATCGTGTCTCTTCTCGCTTCGGGGCTTCATTTCAAAACAAGGCAACAATGGGGAGGGGAAAAAAAAATAAGAAGTTATTATTCACCCCCCTCGGACCATGATGAACATCATCGCGTTTGTACTCCGCCATCAGTCACCGTCAACGCCGTGCCTACAGGCTGTTCACATTAATCACTTCCAACAAATGTATGCGCAGCACGACATGGATAACTTTTAACACTCGTGTGTCCAATCAGTTGTTTCGACACAAACAGTACAATAAAAAAAAAAAAAAAGTTTCAGTGTGTTTCATGTTTCCACTCAGGCTTTGTATTGGCTCATTTACACTGATCACTTGATCTCATAAGAATGTATTGTAAAGGATTAGACGCTGCCTCGGGAAGGATACGGGGGGGTTGGAGGGGGATTATCCGGAGTCTTACAATTTCTCCCATTTGAATGAT